CTGAGGAAGGACCTCCTTTCTCAGAGACGGGGCACCCTATGGCACCCTCGTCCCGATCTTTGGAGACTCCACGTGTGGCTCCTGGACGGGACGAGGCAGGTTTGAGTACCCTGCCACCTGCGGTGGCGGCTACCATCACTTCCGCTAGAGCGTTGTCCACGAGACACGTCTACGCGTTGAAGTGGAACCTCTTCGTCAACTGGTGCTCTTCTCGGCGAGAAGACCCCAGGAGATGCTCGATTGGTGTCGTGCTTTCCTTTCTGCAAGACGGGCTGGAGCGAAGGCTGTCTCCCTCCACCCTGAAGGTGTATGTGGCCGCTATCGCCGCTTATCACGATGCAGTTGAAGGTAAGTCTCTGGGCAAGCACGACCTGATCATCAGGTTCCTGAGAGGAGCGAGGAGACTGAATCCTCCTCGCCCTCCTCTCGTACCCTCTTGGGACCTCTCAGTGGTGTTAAATGCCCTGCAGAGGGCTCCCTTTGAGCCTCTGCAATCAGTGGAGATTAGGTTCCTGTCAATGAAGACAGCGCTCCTGGTTGCACTGGCCTCCATCAAGAGGGTGGGGGATCTACACGCACTCTCCGTTGACGAAGCGTGCCTGGAATTCGGGCCGGCCTGCTCTCACGTGATCCTGAGACCCCGGCCTGGATATGTCCCCAAGGTTCCCACCACTCCCTTCCAGGACCAGGTGGTGAACCTGCAAGCGCTGCCCCTGGAGGAGGCAGACCCAGCCTTGGCACTGCTCTGTCCAGTACGCGCCCTCCGTGCTTACGTAGACAGGACGCAGTGTTTCAGGACCTCAGACCAGCTCTTTGTCTGTTATGGTGGGAAGCTGAAGGGAAAGGCTCTCTCCAAGCAAAGGTTATCCCACTGGATAGTGGACGCCATTGCTTTGGCATACCAGCAGCAAGGTCGACCGTGCCCCCTTGGTGTGACCGCCCACTCCACCCGGAGTGTGGCGTCCTCTTGGGCTTTAGCGCGTGGCGCCTCGCTAACAGACATCTGCAGAGCTGCAGGCTGGGCGACACCCAACACATTCGCCAGACTTTACAATCCCCGAGTGGAGCCAGTCTCCGCCCATGTACTGTCTTTTTCAAGGTAACATGGGAGCCGTTAGGTGTCTCGCTTGCTCGCCATTCCAATCCACGGACTGGATACGTGCGATATTTCCTCAGGTAGCCTTCCTCTCTGAAGCCCTGAGTTCCTCCAGCACTGTTGACGCTGGCGCCAGTGTCTATTGCCTGTGCGTCGGCTAGGTGCCTCCGTGTGCATGGTTCCTCCTCTGAGTAACCCCCACATGTGTATTTCCACTGTAAGCCTCTTTGAGCATGTGTCTTTCCCTCGGCAAGCCACCTTGCCACTCCTGGAGTTGAAAGTTGCCACCCCACGGGCTGGTTACTCCAGTGTTCCTCCATATGAAGCCCCCTCGGCCACATGTGTATTCTTAAGTCCTCCCTATGGGTAGGCATGCTGCGGCATATCTCCCCTGAGATATGCTTCCCAGTGTACCTTGGTATTTCTGTGTTAAGTAGGACTCCTTCGTCCGTGCCTATATCACGACAGGGAGGTCAGACTTCGCAGGGCACTGGAAGACAGCTGTGAAGGTGGTGTGATTACACGGGGACCCCCATTCTCCGTCATCCGACGTAACTCGGAGTGACTACGAAAGGGAACGTCTCGGTTACGGATGTAACCCTCGTTCCCTGAGTAGGGAACGGAGACGTTACGTCTCCCTGCCACTTCCGCTGTACCGCTGGGTAGACGCCTGAGTTCAGTCTCGGCTCCTCAGCGAAGACATGATCTGCTGTTGCAGGTGTCTCTCCTTAAATACCCACGCGGTGGGGCGGAGATACATTATGCAAATTCCGCAGACCCATGGCATTTCATTGCCATAGGCTCGTTTTTTAATACTCGAAGATGATAGGCTTTCTGGCGAAACCCCCATTCTCCGTCATCCGACGTAACGTCTCCGTTCCCTACTCAGGGAACGAGGGTTACATCCGTAACCGAGACGTTTTTATCTGTTTATCAAACTTTAGCGAGGAATAAAAAATGACTCCTAAGTTTTTTACTTGACCCTGTAGGTAGCTGCCCCAAAGTGCTAAGTTATCATTTACAGTCTTATTACAAATTGTACGGCCAAAGATGATAATTTCTGTTTTATGTTCATTTAATTGGACAAGATTATCGACCATCCACGTTTTTACTTCCTCCAGACATTTAAGAAGTGTTGCCCCTGAGTCATCACTATTTGGCTTCAAAGGTAAATAAATTTGAGTGTCATCTGCATATAGATGGTAAAGGATACCATATTTTTTTTAAATCTTTCCCAAGGGGAGCATGTACAGTGAAAACAAGACTGGACCCAAAATGGATCCTTGAGGGACCCCACAGTCAATAGATGTTGGAGAGGAAAAATAATTCCCAAGCTTAACTGTAAAAGATCTTTGCTCCAAGTAAGAGGCAAAACATAAAAAAAAAAAATGTTCCCTGAATTTCAACAAACTGAGTTAGGCGGTTCAGAAGGATGGAATGATCAATGGTATCAAAAGCTGCAGATAGATCTAAAAGAATTAAAGCTCCATGATTACCAGCTTCGCCAAACAGCAAGAGGTCATTTACAACCCTTAAAAGTGCTGACTCTGTACTATGCCCACACCTGAAGCCAGATTAGAATTTATCCAAGATATTACTTTTGGTTAAAAAAGTAGATAGTTGTCCAAATACAACTTTTTCTAATATCTTGGCTAGGCTGGGTAATTTAGATATTGCTGGATAATTTTTTAAATCATATGGATCCAGATTGTTTTGTTTTTTTTCTAAATATGTTCAACGATAGCTTGCTTAAAACATACTGGCACAACCCCTTTCTGGAGGCTACAATTAACAATGGATAAAATGCTTGGGCTAACAATGTCCACACCATCCTTAAAAATGCACAACGGAACGGCATCGCTGGGGCAAGATGATCACTTTAAGTGAAGAATAATGTCCTTGATATCAGAGAGTGACACAGGTTCAAACTGACTAAAACACAATCCGGTTACATCTATTAAACCTGGGTTCAAGCCAAAGTAGAAAAACTAGCTCTAATCCCAATAACTTCCGCAATAAAAAACTTCACAAATAAATCATGTTAGATTTCATACTGGGGCAAAGATGTCTATTAATCATGCAAATAGTTCACGTGGGCGGTTATTAGCGATCATATTGGAAAAATAAATTGCTCTATAATTTTTTACAGTATTTTTATATATAGTCAAACTGTTCCTTAAAATTTGTAAGGAAATGTGTAACCTATCCTTTTGCCATCTCCTTTCTGCTTTTCTACACTCCTGTCTAAGAGCACGAGTCTGTTCATTAAACCAAGTAAATAAATAAATAAACAATAAATAATAAATATAAACTCTAAAGGGCAAAAATCAATCGACAAAATGAGTAAAAATAATAGACAATTGATATCATACAAGAATTGGAGCAATAAAGTACCAAGAATGATGTGAATAGTATAGGTCAGATGATTTATGCATAAGCTCTCCATTCAGTTGTAATTATATCTAGGAGAAACTATTGAGTTACTAAATACTTAAAAAAAAAAATCATTAAATGTTTTCTTTGCCATGAGGAGTATTCAGAAAAAAATAGTTTTCTTAATCATGATAAATCAAACTTAATCATGGCATCTTTTGTAGATGTCTTAATTCACTGTTCTGAATGTGATGGATGCTAAGAGCATAACTTGGACATTTTGAAGATTTAAAAAGGGGCCACTAATATTTGGATGGTAAGATGATGTATAGCCAAACTTATAATTTAGCAGTCTCACATTAACTCATGCCACAACACTTCAGATAGATTAAGTTGAAGGCTTTGACTTGTCAAAGCACAACAGTTCTTCTACTTCAGCTTTAAAATGCCACTTGAATAGGATATCTTTTTGTGTGGCATGACTTTCTGTAAAGCACAAGCTCATGGATACTAAAGTCCACATCAGATATTTAATGACCATAAGTCATCTGGGTGCTCAGGTTGCAACACAACAACAACAACAACTGATATTTCTACCAACAAATGTCATTGTCCAAATGAAGTATGTGGTTCTTCTACAAATTATTTAAATACTGTGATTCCTTTCTTTGATATCCTTCCATTTACACCTGTATTCACTGTTTTCTGCAAGATGAATTCATGAACATCAGCCAATTTAGAAGTTGCATATAGAATTTTAGATGTGTTTTTAGTCTTGCGTGCACAGAAATGAACAAACAGAATGTTCTCCGTTTGGACATTGTCTGGGGATTTAAACAGGCCAGAATAATGCATTTTAGTAATGACATAGTGACATTTACACACAAAGACTAGACTTGTTTCTGATCAGTGCATGATTCATATGAATGCTGTTTCAATTTACAGTTAGTATTCCAATTTGCAATGACAAATTGGAATTTATTCAATACAAAATAAACTGTTTAATTAAAATACACTCTTGTCTTCAATCACAACCTATTCTTAGTTACTACTACATCAAATTTAGGCAAAATGAATGCAGGAAGGGATATCATTTTAATGAGTTCACCACCTTTTTCTCACCATCACAAAATGCAAAAATTACTTTGAATAAAATTGCACATGCTGAATGCTAATCTCTGAAAAAACACTGATTTTTAAATCAGGTTGCAGGCATATTAAGAAAATAATCACTATTAGAATATGAATTTCTGAAGTATGCATGAAATTGCTGTTACAACAGAAAACGAATGCAAAATGAGTCGTCCTTGAAACGACTCCCCAAGCGTGTTGAGTTAGGATGGTCATGCTCGTTTAGTTTTCAAATGTAATTAAACAGATCCTCGAGTGCACACAGAGGCCAACACATTAATCTGCATACTCTTACATATGCATGAACACATGCTTATCCCTGCGTACATAATCAAATGCTTGTAAATATCACTTTGCTATTTCTGAAACTTTTATCCTATTGTTTTTCCATCTCCATTAGATTATACCTAAAGACAATGAGACGAGGTCCACACTGATGTACAAATACATCATCCATGAAGATTCTGTGCCCCTTAACAACAATAATGTCATTCAGGAGGACACATATGAATGGGCGCTTAAAAGCTGGTCCCAATGTTCAAGACCTTGTGCTGGAGGTAACGTTCCATTAGTATGATCTTTCAGTTTATGTAGGTTACTCAAATATATTTTCTGGTGCTATACTCTGCCTCTTTCGACAGCCATTTTCACATTTGGTAATATGCACTTTATTTTTTGTTTCTTTTTTGATTTTTGATTATTTATTTATTTTTTGGTAAGCACTAGAGACACAAATCCTATGGTTGTTTTGTTGTCAGCAACATTGGACTATAATATATATGATAAACTATTATCAAACATAAAATTAACCTAATAATTAAAAAAGTAGCTAGTTTTAATCACATCAAATGTCTGATATATGAGATCACCCTTAAAATGTTTGGCCTGTCCCACATCAGAAGTCTTGACCTTTTCGACTGTATCCAATAATCGACTGTGTCATACAACATCATAATTTTGACATAACCTATGAATATATATATAATTCATTAAAAATACTATTAATAATTTGTTTTTGATTTGATTTGATTAGATTTTGTTCTGCCAGGCCAGATTTTTCAAAAGTTATTGAAGACTGGTTCACTTCATTACACGTCATGCTTCTTTTCGTTCTTTCATTTTATTCATTCTTCAGGATTCCAATACACCAAATATGGGTGTCGTAAAAAAGGTGACAACAAAATGGTGCACAGAGGCTACTGTGACCTCAACAAGAAACCCAAACCTATTCGCAGAATGTGTAACTTACAAGACTGCACTCAACCACAGTAAGTAAATTAAAAAAAAAATGTAACCCTTCTCACAATAACTGTAGTCCCTTTACCTCAACTGAAAGCTAGAATGGTGTTTCATGGTACAGTATGTGATTTTCATGGCATTTAGCTCAATCTAAACAATGTATAAGCACTCATGCTTCACCTGTCTAGCTTGGAGAGCTCAGAGATGGGGTTTGATTGCGTTATATCATGGGGATGTCTTGCTTCATTTATTTCTCTTGTCAGAGACTATGAAGGAATCGCAGAGTGGGATTGTGCATGCATGTTTCATATCTGGGAATAGACTGCCTCAGTCTGTAGTTTTTACTGAATGTGTAGCCTTGGCTAATTTTCAACTGATAGATGAAGATATTTATTTCCTGTTCCATAGAAAACCACAAATAAATCTGCAGCAGCTTTTGTTTTGTTTTGATCGAGCGTGTCCATGACCTGCTTTTATGATTAACATAAGGAATGCGCATATAAGAATGATTAAGACCCTTCAGTATTGAATCAACCTACACATGCCACTTAGTGTACATCATATCTGCACAAAAAACATTTAAATACATAGTGTAGGGTCTACATGCAACATGTTTATCTTAGAATTAGAAGGCATTTCTGAGCATCACAATCCCACTTTCTCTTCACCTATTAGCATTGGCATTTTTTGAGGAACTTTTTTGAAGTTTGAATTGTTCTTAACACAAAATAGGTGTCATTTGAAAGCTTAGAGTCTGACCTTTGCAGTGAATGTAGCCAATTTGAAAAACTAAACTAAAACTAAATATTGCTGAGTTATTTGCAGATAAATAGAATTTCTTTTTTTCATAATCTATAAATACTTTTTTGTACTCTGTACTGCAATGTGTCAAAAACATACAGCTCATGAAACATTCACAGATCGTTGAAAATGGCACATCATTTTTTACAGCATATTATTACAATTAAAATGAGCCCAAAATGAACATAATCTATTGCGTTTATGACAAGATATTCTCCATGGAGGAACAATTTAAAAAATGCCCATTAGGGGGCGTCAAGACTTGAACAATAAGGCTATCTTGGTTCCAAATGCTGTAACGTCTCGATTACGTATGTAACCCTCGTTCCCTGAGTAGGGAACGGAGACGTTACGTCGGATGACGGAGAATGGGGGTTTCGCCAGAAAGCCTATCATCTTCAAGTATTATAAAACGAGCCAATGGCGATGAAATGCCATGGGTCTGCGGATTTTGCATAGCGAATCTCCGCCCCACCGCGTGGGTATATAAGGAGAGACACCGGCAAAAGCAGATCATGTCTTCGCTGATGAGCCGAGACTGAACTCAGGCGTCTACCCAGCGGTACAGCGGAAGTGGCAAGGAGACGTAACGTCTCCGTTCCCTACTCAGGGAACGAGGGTTACATACGTAACCGAGACGTTCCCTTTCGTAGTCACTCCGAGTTACGTCGGATGACGGAGAATGGGGGTCCCCGTGTAATCACACCACCTTCACAGCTGTCTTCCAGTGCCCTGCGAAAGTCTGATCCCCCTGTCGTGAATGGCACGGACGAAGGAGTCCTACTTAACACAGGAATACCAAGGTACACTGGGAAGCATATCTCAGGGGAAATATGCCGCAGTACGCCTACCCGTAGGGAGGATAAAGAATACACATATGGTCCGAGGGGGGCTTCATATGGAGGAACACTGGAGTGACCAGCCCGTGGGGTGGCAACTTTCAACTCCAGGAGTGGCAAGGTAGCCTGGCGAGGGAAAGACACATGCTCAAAAAGAGGCTTACAGTGGAAATACACATGTGGGGGTTACTCAGAGAAGGAACCATGCACACGGAGGCACCTAGCCGACGCACAGGCAATAGACACTGGCGTCAGCGTCAACAGTGCTGGAGGAACTCAGGGCTTCAGAGAGGAAGGCTCACCTGAGGAAATATCGCACGTATCCAGTCCGTGGAGTGGAATGGCGAGCAAGCGAAGAGACCTGAGTGGGTCCAGTACTAGCTGGTTGAAGCGAGTACACGAGAGGACACAATCTCCACTCGGAGATTATAGAATCTGGCGAATGTGTTGGGTGTCGCCCAGCCTGCAGCTCTGCAGATGTCTGCCAGCGAGGCGCCATGCGCTAGAGCCCAAGAGGAAGCCACACTCCGGGTGGAGTGCGCTGTCACAGCAAGGGGGCACGGTCGACCTTGCTGCTGGTAAGCCAAAGCAATGGCGTCCACTATCCAGTGAGACAACCTCTGCTTTGAGAGAGCCTTTCCCTTCAGTCTCCCACCATAACAGACAAAGAGCTGGTCTGAGGTCCTGAAACACTGCGTTTTGTCTACGTAAGCACGGAGTGCGCGTACTGGACAGAGCAGTGCCAAGGCTGGGTCTGCCTCCTCCAGGGGCAGCGCTTGCAGGTTCACCACCTGGTCCCGGAAGGGAGTGGTAGGAACCTTGGGCACATATCCAGGCCGGGGTCTCAGGATCACATGAGAGTAGGCCGCCCCGAATTCCAAACACGCTTCGTCAACGGAGAATGCGTGCAGGTCCCCTACCCTCTTGATAGAGGCCAGTGCAACCAGGAGCGCCGTCTTAAGAGACAGATATTTAAGCTCAACTGATTGCAGAGGCTCAAAGGGAGCCCTCTGCAGGGCATTTAAGACCACTGAGAGGTCCCAAGAGGGAACGAGAGGAGGGCGAGGAGGATTCAGTCTCCTTGCTCCTCTCAGGAACCTGATGATCAGGTCGTGCTTTCCAAGAGACTTACCGTCAACTGCTTCGTGATATGCGGCGATGGCAGCCACATACACCTTCAGGGTGGAGGGAGACAGCCTTCGCTCCAACCCATCTTGCAGGAAGGAAAGCACGACACTGATCGGGCATCTCCTGGGGTCTTCTCGGTGAGAAGAGCACCAGTTGACGAAGAGGTTCCACTTCAACGCATAGGCATGTCTCGTGGACGATGCTCTAGCGGAAGTGATGGTAGCCGCCACCGCTGGTGGCAGGGTACTCAAACCTGCCTCGTCCCGTCCAGGAGCCACAGGTGGAGGTTCCAAAGATCGGGACGAGGGTGCCATAGGGTGCCCCGTCCCTGAGAAAGGAGGTCCTTTCTCAGAGGAATTGGCCAAGGAGGTGCTGTCGCGAGGAGTATCAGTTCGGAGAACCAGTTCCGGGTGGGCCAGTACAGCGCAACCAGAATGACCTGCTCCTCGTCCTCCTTGATCTTGCACAGGGTCCGTGCAAGAAGGCTCACTGGGGGAAACGCATATAAGCTGAGGCCCCGCGGCCAGCTGTGCGCCAGTGCATCCGTGCCGAGCGTGCCCTCGGACAGGGAGTAATACAGGGCGCAGTGGGATGAGTCGTGGGAGGCAAACAGGTCTACCTGTGCATCCCCGAACTGGTCCCAAATCAGCTGGACCGACTGGGGATGGAGTCGCCATTCGCCGGAGATGGGCTAAAACCGTGACAGCTGGTCGGCTGCAAAGTTCCGATCTCCCGGAATGTAAATAGCACGAAAGGACCTCAGGTGCTTCTGACTCCATAAGAGGAGGTGGCGTGCGAGTTGCGACATACGGCGGGAGCGTAGACCACCTTGACGGTTGATGTACGCTACTGTCGCGGTATTGTCTGAACGGACTAGTACGTGTTGACCCTTGAGCAACGTGTGGAAACGGTGCAGGGCAAGGCGTACTGCCAGCAACTCGAGGCAATTGACATGCAGAAGGCGCTGGGGTCCTGTCCAGGAGCCCGCAGCAGCATGTCCATTGCACATGACGCCCCAGCCCGTGGCAGAGGCATCTGTGGAGACAACAACATGCCTGGAAACTCGTTCTAGGGGAACTCCGGCCCGTAGAAACTGAGGTTCCGCAACGTGGTGAAGGTCTGACGGCAGGTCGGAGTCACTGGGACTCGGAGCGTGCCATGATGCCATGCCCACCTCGGTACTCGATCGCGAAGCCACAGCTGAAGCGGTCTCATATGAAGCAATCCGAGCGGCGTTGCCGCGGCTGCAGATGCCATATGCCCCAGGAGCCTCTGAAATCATTTCAGTGGGACCGCACTCTTGCCCTCAAACTATCGAAGACAAGTCAGCAGTGAGTGTGCGCGCTCGCTCGTAAGCTGCGCGGACATGGCGACAGAGTCGATCTCCATAACGAGAAAAGAGATCCTCTGCACGGGGCAAAGTTTGCTCTTCTCCCAGTTGACCCAAAGGCCCAGACGGGCTAGGTGCCGAAGCACTAGGTCTCTGTGTTCGCAAACCTGATCCCGAGAGTGAGCTAATATATAGCCAGTCGTCGAGATAATTCAGGATGCGAACCCCGTGTTCGCGTAGGGGAACAAGGGCTGCCTCGACGACCTTCGTGAAGACGCGAGGAGACAGAGCCAACCCGAATGGGAGAACCGCGTGCTGGTATGCCTGCCCCTCGAAAGCAAACCGAAGAAACGGTCTGTGTCGAGGTAAAATGGAGACATGAAAGTAGGCGTCCTTCAGGTCTATCGCTGCAAACCAATCCTGTGCCCTCACGCATTCGAAAATGCGTTTGGCCGTGAGCATCCTGAACGACAGCCTGTGAAGGGAGCGGTTCAAGACGCGCAGGTCCAGGATTGGCCGTAACCCACCGGTCTTCTTGGGGACAATGAAGTACGGGCTGTAAAACCCTGACTCCATCTCGGCTGGAGGGACAGTCTCGATTGCACCCTTCGCCAACAGGATGGCAACCTCCGCTCTCATGATAGGGGCATTGCCACCGACCGTAGTAAAGCGGACTCCCCTGAAGCGTGGAGGAGACCGTGCGAACTGAATCGCATAGCCGAGCCTGATAGTTCGGGCGACCCAGCGGGACAGGTTGGGAAGCTCTAACCAAGCTCCCAAGAACTGAACCAGCGGAATCATCCGAACCACAGACGTCCCCGGGGAGGGGCAGCGAAGCGGAGTGACCGGCCCCGGCGTGGGTGCGGGGGCGCGGTCATGCTCCGCGTCCTGACAGAGGAGACCAGGGAAGGACCAGCGTTCCATGGGGGTC